AGGCTAGCATTCTACTATTTGAGCTACAGTTCTGTTTTTTTCTGAGTAGTTTATTGAAGATAAAAGTCTCATGTACTTTTTTGCCTGGGTTGGCTTTGAACTGTGATCCTCATATCTCAACCTCCGGTGGTGTAGCTAGGATTATAGACATGAGCCACAGCACCTGACATTCATTTATTTATTTATTTATTGTTGGTTGTGGGACTTGAACTCAGGATCTTATCCCTGAGCCTCTTGCTAAAGGCTAGCACTCTACCACTCTACCACAGTGCCACTTCTGGTTTTTGAGTGGTTAATTGGAAATGAGTCTCAAAGGGACTTTCCAGCCTGGGCTGGTTTTCAACTGTGATCCTCAGATCTCAGCCTCCTGAGTATCTAGGATTACAAGCATGAGCCACCAGTGCCCAGCTTGTTTTCAACTTTTTATAATCCTTCTCATTTTTCTAATGGTTTCTAGTATATTTTTTCCCTCTGGTGCTAGGGTCAAGAAAGTGCTCTACCACTGTGAATTATATTTTCAAACTCTGAGTATCTTAAATCAAAAGGTCTATTTTGTTTACCTTTTATTCTCAGTTACTTAGCATGTAGTAGGAATCATTAACCATGTAATTACACGAGTGTCTTAACAAAGCTGGCCACTCCCATTTTATATGCAATTGCCAGGTTCACATTTGTGACTGTCTTGCTCGTTATCTTCAGTGGCCTTCTGCTGCCTACAGAATAAAGTCTAAACTCTTTAGCTTTAATATTTGGTACACTCAATTATCTCACCTTAATTTCAACTTTAATCCCAAGTTTGTTTCCCTCTGTAGTTAGTCAAATGTATTGGTTTAATTTTCTCCCGTTACCCATCTCTTTTCCATATCCATATCTTTTATTCTTCTTTCTTTCTTTCTTTTCTTTCTTTCTCTTTTCCCTCTTCCCTCCCTCCCTCCCTCCCTCCCTCCCTCCCTCCCTCCATCTATCTCTCTCTCCCTCCTTCCCTCCCTTCTTCCTTCCTTCCTTCTTTCCTTCTTTCTTTCCATCTTTTCTTTCTCTTTCCTTCCTTCTTTCTTTCTTCCCATCCTGGGACTTAAACTCAGGCCTAGGTGATGTCCCTGAGCTTCTTTTTGCACTTTACCACTCAAGCCACAGCTCCACTTTCAGCTTTTTTGATAGTTTAGTGGAGATAATAGTCTAATAGAAGCCGGGCGCTGGTGGCTCACGCCTGTAATCCTAGCTACTCAGGAGGCTGAGATCTGAGGATCGCGGTTCAAAGCCAGCCCAGGCAGGAGAGACCGTGAGACTCCTATCTCCAATAAACCACCAGAAAACCGGAAGTGGCGCTGTAGCTCAAGTGGTAGAGCGCTCACCTTGAGCTGAAGAGCTGAGGGACAGCGCCCAGGCCCAGAGTTCAAGCCCCACCACCGACCAAAAAAAAAAAAAAAAGTCTAATAGACTTTCCTGACTGGGCTGCCTTTGAACTTTAATCTTCAGGTCTCAGCCTCCTAAGTAATTAGGATTATAGGCATGAGCCACCAGTGCCCAGTTCACACTGTTTTTGTTGTTTGTTTGTTTGTTTGTTTGCCAGTCACGGGGCTTGAACTCTGGGACTGGGTGCTGTCCCTCAGCTCTTCAGCTCAAGGCAAGTGCTTTACCACTTGAGCCACAGCACTACTTCCAGTTTTCTGGTGGTTAATTGGAGATAAGAGGCTCAGGGTCTTTCCTGACCAGGCTGACTTTGAACCACGATTCCCAGAGCCCAGCCTCCTTAGTAGTTAGGATTACAGGCGTGAGCCACCAGCACCCAGCTTTTCTTACTCTTGAAAACATTTCTCTCTTAATTAATTTCCCTTCTGAAATATTAGGCAAGCATTGTACATTGTGAAATGGTACAATGGTACCACCAAGCCTTCTTGATCATCCTAGCTTTGAAGTTTCAGCATGATGGCTACTATTTCTCAAATTTTCTCTTCATTGAAGTTTATGGGTGTGTATTTTTTCCATCTTACTTCTGTCTCTTAAAGAGCATGGATTTGATAATTCATCTGTACTTGTAAATAGCAGTAGCCAACCAATAATTTCTAAATAAATGTATATTTGATTCAACATATAATAATAATAACCATCTATGGGCCGGTTTGAAGGAGAATAGAGAGTATTCTCAATTGAGGGTATTTGGTAAGGGGATATTCCCTGCTCCTATTTATATGTTCCTTACCCAGTTTGGGGTGCATTCACCCCAAACGTGTTCCAGATTTAGAACTTGACTTTGAGAATACTAAAGATATGAACTCACGTATTAGATTCCATTCAGATAGCAAAGTATTTGAGGAGCTGGCGCTTTGTATTGTTTCTGTAGGTCACAAGTTAAATCCCCAGTGAGGCCTTGTGCACTGTGCTAAACTCTGTCCCACACTTAACTTATTAGACTCACCTTAGTTTTGTTTGCCATGACTTTTTTGTTTTGTTTTGTTTGGTTTGGTCATGGGGCCTGAACTCTGGACCTGGGCGCTGTCCCTCACCTCTTCAGCTCAAGGCTAGCACACTACACTTGAGCCACAGTGCCACTTCTAGGTTTTTCTGCGTATGTGGTGCTGAGGAATTGAACCCAGGGCCTCATGCATGCAAGGCAAGCACTGTACCACTGAGCCACCATCCCAGTCCCTTGACTTTTTTTGGCATGACTTTTATGTCAAGTTGTTAAGCTGTATCCATGGTTCAACTTACCACTTAAAAAATTCATTCTAGTTGCATTTTCAACTTGCCTTATGTTTAATTTTTAACTCATTAAAACCAGCTTTGCTGTGGATGAACTGGCAGTGGAACTTATGCTTCATAGTTTTTTTTTTGGTTTTTTTTTTAATTTTTTTAAAAATTTTTTTATTGTAAAGATATTATACAGAGGGTTACAGTTACATGAGTGAGGTAATGAGTACACTTCCTCTTGAACATTGTTACCCCCTCCATTGTTTTCCCCCTACCATCCCCTCCCTCCCTCCCTTCCCCGAGTTGCTTCATAGTTTTTAAATCCTTCTTTGTGGAGTTTTCTACTCTCCTATCATACTCTAGTATTTCCTTTTGCTGGGAAATATGTTATCATTTATCCAAGTCAATCAATATTGATATTTGCTTAGAGATGGACTTAATAACTGTCACCATGGAACCATCTAAGGATTTAATGCCCTCAGAACTATCCTTCCCCACATTGGTCCTCTTTATTCTGGTACACTTTTGAGGTTTTTTTCAATCATACTTGAGGTTCTCAAATTCTGTATATGTCCCTTGCCCAAGTCACTTCCTTCTGATTCAGGATCTACCTTTTGCCTTACCCCTCAATAATCTCCTATCCTTTTCTTATTTCCATTCTTCCCTTCTAAGCCATTGCTTGTCCCCTAAATACTTGAGTTGCCTTTCCAGACAATTCTGTTAAATGACAGCCCAGTACATTATTGTCATTGGTTTACTTGTCTGTTTTTTCTCATAAGCCAAAGGCTGTCTAAGTCTGTTTGATTTCTCTTTTTATATTTGGAACCTAGTACAGTGTCTACTATATACTAGATACTTATTAACTAGATAATCACTACTGAGCTTTCTAAATTCCATCTCAGAGTTGGAAACTATCAAGAGGTGCTTTTAACTTTCCATTATTTGACTAATATAAAATCAACCAGAATCCAGTTCTTGAGTTATTTCTGCCTGTGAGCAATTATTCTATTAGGTAGTACTTAACAGTCATAAAAGTAAATGAGCCCGACAATCATACATCCATACAAAAGGTAGAGAAGGGAGAAGTGAAGGATAAAAGGGAATGAGTTAGCAAAATTCAACCCAGTTGCATACTGGCACAAAGGTGACTGTGGTTCAGAAAGCCAGCTTGATTCAGAAGAGCTCAAGTAGGAGCAAAGAGCAAAAGGCAACTAACAGAGCAAGGATTCACAGCAAACAGGCAGACATGAGCAGGTGAGTACTGAATAGGGCCTGGGTCCTTTGGGATTGTGTTCTCTCAGGCTCCAAAGGATTTAGAAGAAGTAAAACCAGAATGTGAAGCTCTGAGAAGGGCAAGTAGGAAGAATTAGTGTTTACAGAGGTGTACAGAAACTGAAAACCGTGGGAGACTAGTACAAGAGGATAGTGAGTGAGCTTGAGGCCATCCAAGGCTACATCTGACACCCTATCTCAAAACAGGTACTACCAACAAAAAACACCAAAAAGTGAATGAATTATAGTAAGTGGTTACCCCAGTTTCAAGAAAAGAATCAAAAGGGTGGGTTGTGAGCAAGAGATGTTGAGAAGATTATTAATTCTGAAACGTGATTTAAATATGCTCATGTATTTAGCCTCAGCTTAAAAGCATATAAAACTTAACAAATTTGGACAAAATAACACCTTTGTGTACTGACACATTTGGGAACTCCTTCCTTGGCAGTGTGCAATCATCATCATCCAGTGGGCAATTAATCTTTTGGTAAGATCATCTATTATATTTTTGCTAAATATGTGTGTAGTGCCTGAGTTATTGGATTACTGTTTATTATAACACCTATATATTATATATTAACACTATTAATATTATAGATTAACACTATTATATATTAACACTATTCTAGCACCAAGAACACATCAGGAATAAAACACAAAAATCTTTGCAGACATAGCTTACATGAGGGATAGAAGTGAGGTAAAGCAGGGAATGTGAAAATAAAAGTGTAATAAATTATGAAGTGTGTTAGAAAGTGAAAAGTGCTGTGAGAAAGAGAAGAAAGGTAGAAAATGTGCATGTGGTCAGCTGAGTTGCAGTTTTAAAAAGGGAGGACAGCACGTGTGTAATCCTAGCATCTCCAGAAGTAGAGATCAGGAGCCCTTGGAGGGGGTGGGGCAGGGAGAATTGAGACCAATTTTAGGAGGAAAGGTTAGGCAAAATGGTACATTTCATACCAGAGTTGGTAGGAAGCATAAATAAGATTGTGGTCTTGGCTGAGCTGGACAAAAAATGAGACCCTATCAAAAATGCCATGAGCATATTTACCTGGTAGGGGACATACCATGATTACAAAGGTGGTCTTGTCAGACTAAGGTTTGTCCATTGCACTCCATGTATGCTGACCTCTGCAGTTTCCTCAAATGTGGCAAACTCCACTCCATAATCTGTGTTTGTTTAAAAGAAATGAATGCCCAAATTAGAGGCGTAGCTCAGGTGGTAGAGATCCTGCCCAGCAAGTGTGAAGCCTTGAGTTCAAACTTCAGAACTAAAAGAGAAGAAAGGAGGGGGTGGTGGGAATTGGGAACATGGAAGGTCTCACAGAAAAGGTAAAATTTGGATAAAGATTTTTTTTAAATGAATGAGCAAGCTGTGCAGACATATATACAATACAACGCTATTGTACAAATTAAAGTTTTAAGTTTTTTAATATCATTTTTCAGATAGCTAGTCTTAAGGAAAAGTGAGGTTGGAAGAGGTATTAGAAGGTAAGTGCTGCGGGTAAAAAGGATATTTATTTAATGTGTCCATTCTCTGCTTTCTCTAAGGTTCATTGTTTGCATTTACACTGAATAATAGTGTGACTCAGCAGTTTTTGTTCCATGAAAGTAGATATCCAGGATGTATTTTTTTTCCACTTTAAAACTCTGAGGAAAGAGGGGCTGGGAAGGTGGCTAAGTGGTAGAGCGCTTGCCTTGCATGCCTGAAGCCCTGGGTTTGATTCCTCAGCACCACATAAAGAAAAAAGCCGGAAGTGGCTCTGTGGCTCAAGTGGTAGAGCGTTGGCCTTGAGCTGAAGAGCTGAGGGACAGCACCCAGGCCCAGAGTTCAGGCCCCACGACCGGACCCCCTTCCCCCCCCCAAAAAAACAACAAAACTCTGAGGAAAGAATGTCTGCTTAATGAAAACAGAAGATAGAGAGGCTTTTCAAAAACTACAATAATAAAGAAAATCTGAGTGGCCCTTGAAGAAATTATCATCAAAGGGCCAGAGAAAAATTAGTGCCTGAATGGCTAGGCGTTCGTGGCTCATGCCTGTAATCCTAGCTACTGAGGAGGCTGAGATCTGAGGATGGCCCCAGGACAAGAAAGTCCATGAGACTCTTATCTCCAATTAACCACCAGAAAACCAGACCTGGTATTGTGGCTCAAAGTGGTTGAACACTACTTTTGAGTGAAAATAAAGCTCAAAGACAGTACCTAGGCCCTGAGTTCAAGCCCTACAACTGACAAAAATAAAAATAAAAAAATTAGTGCCCGAGTGAGAGGAGGGATCAGGTGATAGACAAGGCAAAGGTCCAGTGTTAATACTTGGAGAATCTAAAAAAAGGTATTTTTGTTTTCAGTTATTTAGCTTGATCTACATGTCCAGCCCATTTGCTGTAAAAGAAGAACCAGCCGAAGGGAGTGATTTAAATAGTGTGTGAGTATTCATTTGGCCAGGCAGCTGCCCTGTTTCAGTGGCTGATTTCCTAGGATCTACTCTGTATTCCAGATGTACCAAGTATTTCTAAATAAAGGAATAAGGGATCTGGAAATGGGAGCTTTGGACTCAGACCATGCCACTTAGCCAGTAACCATGTCTTGTGCAAGAAATCCAGCATGTAATAGACAATCATTGAAAAACCAGGCTGGGTCAGCCTCTAGTCCTAGGTAGGAGGCTGAAATATGAGCATCTACCTTTGAAGCCAGCCTTGGCAAGAAAGTCCATGAGACTCTTATCTCCAGTTAACCACAAAAAGGTAGAAGTGGAGCTATGACTGAAGTAATAGCATGCCAGCCTTGAGCAATAAAGCTAAGGGGACAGTGCCCGGGCCTTGAGTTCAAGCTGTAGTACTCCCCCCCTCCCCCAACACACCAGGATGGGTTGAGGGAGTAGATAAAAGTCAAATCCCCAGTACTGCTAGCAAAAAATCAAAATGGGTTGGAGGCATGGCTCAGTTGGTAGAGCATTAGCCAGTGAGTGAAAGCATGAGGTACCAAGTTCAAGTCCTGGTTTCCAACATTAAAAAAAGAAAAAACAGGCAACAACAACAAAGAAAAACAAGCTGTTGGGAAAATGAGGAAGAAACAAATCTAGTCATGAAATCTGGTTCAAAAGACCCACAACTGGGCTGGGAAGGTGGCTCAGTGGTAGAGCGCTTGCCTTGCATGCTCAAGGCCCTGGGTTCGATTCCTCAGCACCACATAAGAAAAAAGCCTGAAGTGGCGCTGTAGCTCAAGTGGTAGAGCGCTAGCCTTGAGCTGAAGAGCTGAGGGACAGCGCCCAGGCCCAGAGTTCAGGCCCCATGACCTGACCCAAAAAAAAAAGACCCACAACTGTTTTTGAGCAAATATATAAAGGCCAACTAAGCCATCCTTAATGATTATAGGGTAGCTCTGGCAGTTTTCATTAATTCCAAGAGAATATGTAACTAAAACAGGGAAAATAGGCCCTTGCCAGAAGAAGATAGTTGAATAATGTCCAGGAACAGTTTTGGTTTTTATAATTAGTATGATTGGGAAAGAAAAGTGGTAGTTGCCCGAAGTAGAGGCCAGACATGGTACTAAAAAACTTACCATACACAGAAAGCTCCCATGACAAAGAATTACCCACCAGTACCAAGGCTGACCTTGAGGAATTCCAGTTCTCCTTTACAAATGACATCATGGCACACAGACTGTATCCTTTTATCTTTCCAGCAGAACAGCTACAAATCATCAAAACATAAAGTACCCAGTTCTTTGTTACTTGTTTCTTGTGTAATGTCCCTCTAAAAAAAGAAGAAAGTTTAACTAAAACAGATAGAATGGATCCCTTTATTCCATTGAACACTACCAAGTGTTTGTTGTTTTGTACTGACCCTGGGCTTTGAACTCAGGCCCTGGGTGCCTGTTCCTGAGCTTTTTTGTGCCAATCATGGGATTTGAACTCAGGGCCTGGGCACAGTCCATGAGAGTGTTTTTCTCTCTCAAGGCTAGCACTCTATTAGCACCACAGCTCTACCTTCAGCTTTTTGTTGGTTAAATTGGATAGAGTCTCCCAGATATTTCTGACTGGGCTGGCTTTGAACTATGATCCTTAGATCTTAGCCTCCTGAGAAGCTAGGATTATATGCACTGAGCCACTAGAACCCAGCTTTCCCTCAGCTTTTTTGATCAAGGGGAGCACTATATCAATTGACCCGTAGCTCTACTTGGGACTTCCCTGCCCACACTGGCTTTGAACTTCTAAAGATCTCAGCCTCCTAAGTAGATAGGATTACAGGCTTGAGCCTGGCGAGAAGTTATTTTTTTTTTAAGTACAGGAGGCCTATTTAATTTCATTTTGCCTCAAATCCATTATTCAGATTTTTGAATGTGCTAGAACCCGATAACAAAAACAGTGTAGCCACGTGCCAGTGGCTCATGCCTGTAATCCTAGATGTTCAGAAGGCTGAGATCTGAGGATCACTGTTCAAAGCCAGCCTGGGCAGAAAAGTTCCCATGAGACTCTTATCTCCAATTAACCATCAGAAAATCGGAAGTGGTGCTATGGCTTAAGTGGTAGAGAGCTTGCCTTGAGCTGAAGAGCTCAGGGACAGTGTCCAGGCCCAGAGTTCAAGCCCCATGACTGACAAAAAAAAACAAAACAACAAAACCAGGGCTGGGAAAGTGACTCAGTGGTAGAGTGCATGCCTTGCATGCATGAAGCACTGGGTTCAATTCCTAAGCACCATATAAGCAGAAAAAGCCAGAAGTGGTGCTGTGGCTCAAGTGGAAGAGAGCTAACCTTGAGTGGAAAAGCTGAGGAACAACGCCCAGGCCCAGAGTTCAGGCCCGACAACTGACAAAAAAGAAAAAGAAAAGAAAAACAAATAAAAGGTGTTATAGAATCATAGAACAACGCATAGTCATTTAAAAACAAATCTCTGATTTATATATAAATAATTCAATTTTCTAATAACTATAGGAAGAAGATAAAGCAAGTACTTTTTTTTGTCAGTCGTGGGGCTTGAACTCTGGGCCTGGGCGCTGTCCCTCAGCTTTTCAGCTCAAAGCGAGCGCTCTACCACTTGAGCTACAGCGCCACTTCCGGTTTTCTGGTGGTTTATTGGAGATAGGAGTTTCACGCCCTCTTCTGCCTGGGCTGGCTTTGAACCGCGATCCTCAGATCTCAGCCTCCTGAGTAGCTAGGATTACAGGCGTGAGCCACCAGCGCCCGGCAGTACTTTTTTTTTTTTTTTGTCGGTCATGGGGCTTGAACTCAGGGCTTGGGTAGTGTCTCTGCGCTCTTCAGCTCAAGGTGAGCACTCTACCACTTGAGCCACAGTGCCACTTTCGATTTTCTACTGGTTTATTGGCGATAAAGAGTCTCACTAACTTTTCTGCCTGGGCTGGCTTTGAACTGTGATCCTCAGATCTCAGCCTCCTGAGTAGCTGGGATTATAGGCATGAGCCACCAGGGGCACCCAGCTAAGCAAGTACTTTTTTTTTTCTCATTTGACATATGAGGAAGTAGTCATAGAGATGCTTAGTAGTTTTTCTCAAGATCATGAAACTCCTCAGTAGATACAAATACTAGAACTGAAACCCAGTGCCTCTGACCTAACACTTGGCTCTGTACACTGGCTTTACATGAGATTTCCCATTTATATCCAATCTCCTTACATAAAAATTCAAAACAGGGCTGGGAATGTGGCTTGTTGGTAGAGTGCTTGCCTAGCATGCATGAAGCCCTGGGTTCAATTCCTCAGTACCACATAAACAGAAAAGGCTGTGGCTCAACTGGTAGAGTGCCAGCCTTGAGCAGAAGAAGCTCAGGGACAGTGCCCAGGCCCTGAATTCAAGCCCTAGGACTAGCAAAAAATAAAAATCAATCAATCAATCATATAAAAATACAAAACAAGCCAGGCACTGATGGCTCATGCCTGTAATTCTAGCTACTCAGGAGGCTGAGATCTGAGGATCATAATTCAAAGCCAGCCCAGGCAGGAAAGGCCAGGAGACTCTTATCTCTAATTAACCTCCAAAAACTGAAAGTGGCACTCTTGCTTAAGTGGTACAGTGCTAGCCTTGCGTGAAAAAGTTCAGATAGCACCCAGGACTTGAATTCAAGCCCCATGAGTGACAAAGAAAATTCAAAACAAATAATGCTAAGAAAAATAGGGTTTTTTTTTGTTTGTCTGCTATGGTCACATTAAAAAATATAAGCAGTTAGATGGATGCCAGTGGTTCACACCTCTAA